ACTCGGAACTTGTAGTTTAGATAGTTTCATGTATGATCATGTAATTTAAATCAGAATACAAATTTAATTTACTTTGTTAGAATAACACATGAATTATTTTTTACGTTGCAGAGATTTTTCATCTGGCTCCCAGAGCACCACCATCAGATCTGTCAGATCTTCAAAATTCAAGGTAGCCATCGACTTGGTAAAAATTTCACCATAGCTTGTCGGAAGGGCGAGCAAACCCACCTGGATCAGGGAGGAGCTCTGGGGTCAGCAGATCGCAGCCTCCGCCTCTCCTGCTTAAGAGAGGAAGAGGGAGACAAACAGAGCAAACCGGGTGACGTAGGAGGACAGGGGAGCTGCGCACCATATTGGAGGATCAGTCCTCTATACGGAGCAATACAAGAGGCTGGTAAGCTTCTTTTAAATATTTAAAAACTCCATGTTTAATATAAATATGTGACGCTAATCAATCATATATGCTACATAGGAGAACGAGTTGAGCAGCGAGCTCTCCATTGCAGAGCAACATGCCCGACCTTATCGGAGCCTAGGGATGTAGCAATGGGTATCAGAGCATCCCAGCGGGTTGCTGTAAGTAAAAAAAAGAAATTTAAAACTTAATTTTAACTCTTACTATTCAAATTTCTAATTAAACATTGATTTTAATTTTGCAAGAGTTTGAGCAGCTCTGTGAGAGGCACCTGGCTACTCAGCCCAAAACTTTTGCTAGCAACAATTGCAGTCCTGCTACCACTGCGCAGTTCGAGTTTGAGATGTAGACTACGACAGGGAAGAAGAACAGGAGGATTTATGGCCTTGGTGCGAAAGGCATAGCCTTCGAGACCAAGATCTCTCGTGGTCCAGTTCATAGTTCCCCTAGCTCTTCACAGCAAGACCAGGATGCTATAGTCAGGCAGGTCGCTGCAATGAATGAAGCTATCCCTCAGTTGCGCGCACAAATGTTAGAAGGACAACAAAGGGTCAAGGACTCTATAACGCATATGACGGAGACTTTAGCAGGTCACCGGGGAAAGCGACCAATGATAAGCGTAAAGGAGGAGGAAGAGGAGGAAGAGTGAGATGATGATTAGACATTTCTTTTTGTATTTCTTTTTATTTATTTTTAGCATTACTTCGAACATTAACTCTGAATTTTTTTGTTTATTTTGTTGTTGTTTATTGGAACACTTTGATTCTATGAATCCGCGCTATTGATATTTACTTGAGTTGTAATTTGTGTTAATGCTGATTATCTGTGGCCGTATAAACTATTGCTGCTTTGTGGATTCATTATACTGTGCAGGTTGTGAAAATGTAACTATTTTATATATTTTTCTATTGTTCCTGATTTGCGACAGATTTGTGTCCAATAAGCCAACCGTAAAACGATAATTTTTATCCAACGTTCTTCGATATTATTTGACGCTCATTTGAGGTTAATTCGACATTAATTTTAATATCAAATTTTTTCGATGCAAATTTAGACGCACTCAATAGTCTCAACGAAAATTGACACAAATAAGAAGCAAAAAAATTGCGGCTGGTTATTTCGATGCTACATAAGCAAAAAATATATTACCGACACCCCATTTTTCAGGCAAAAAAAAAGATGCAAATCCGACGATAACCCATAAATACCGCCGGATTTTCTTACGATTTTCTTCTTATATGTTCGACGAAAATATCAAAAATTTATGTAGTGTTTGGTCATCCCCTTTTGTTCGAACAAAATCACAAAACTTCCCTTCTGTTTAAAATGAAACACATAATTTTGTACGCTCAAGTTGCAGCTGATGCGCACTTTCTGAGGTCCAATTCGCTCCTAAGACAAAATTTTGCCGATCGTTCAAACTTTCTGTTAAATTTCCACAATTTGTTTCTACCTCAGATTGTTCGAACACTTCGTTTGATCATAGCGGTCTGTTTAACAATACCAAAATTTGTCGCTTCCTCTTCGTTTGCAAAAACCGCAAATTCAATCCCTGTGATTAATTTGACTTGCCTTAGCTGCCATCTCACATGGGGCCGGTTTGCAAACAACTTGACCACCTCTCCCTGGGTGTCATACACCTAGAACTTGAGAGCTATGCTTGCCACTCTAGTTCATGTTCGCGCATCCAATAAACTAAGGGTCCTCTCACTTTCATTTAAGCAACAAGCCTTCTCGACTCAAGCTTCACAATCACAATATGGTCAACCACGGCATGGTTTCACAATTTTCTTCCTCGGAAGTCACATCCAGATCTAAGCTTGCACTTCAGCCCCAATCATACTTGATAACTCCTCTAATATAGTCATGAACCATAAATTGCATGACCATACTTTTCTTCAATTGTCACAGTCCATCCTAATGTACATTTATGACAGAGAAAAAGATGGACATCTCATAGATGAAATTTTGGCTCCATAAATGGCCTTCTAAATATCAAGTTTGGAAAACTGACGACCACAATAAATTTCGTGACCACTTGTAGCAACTCAGTGCGGTACATTTCATTTTCACAAATAAGATGTTCCTCCTTTCAAGGACTAAGAAGGTGTGAGTAGTGGGACTACTTTTAGGGATACCAGACCCCATAATAGGACAACCAAGGGATATGGTAGGCTGCATGTGAACTACTTTAGCACTAAAAAACTCCTCAAAGTTATTTGAGATTAAGACCAGACAATATGATCTATGATAACGAGAATTGAATTTTACTCAATATTTCAATATCCTCACACTTGTTGGTTGCAAATGAATATGTATGAGGCTTATTCTTAGAAATATCATGATGAACCTGCCTTGTACAGAAGAATTACTAAACAAAAAAGAACAATTAAATTCCTCCTTGGCCTCAATAAAGACTTTGATAAAGTTAGAGGGACAATATTGGAAGTAAACCAATCCCCTACCCTTCGGGAGACCTTACAAAAGTTTAAAGGGAAGAGAGTAGAAAAAATTTTGAAGGGAAGAGAGTAGGTTCCCAAGTATCCAAGAAGCCCTAAAGGTTCCTGCATGGAAACCAACAGTTGAGAAAAAAATTCAATATCTAGAAAAGAATAACACATGGACACTTATAGAGTTACCATATAAGAAAAGTCTTGTAGGCTGCAAATGAATATTCACAGCCAAATACAAAGAAATAAAAGTGGAGAGATCCAAAGTCAAACTAGTAGCCAAAGGCTTCATACAGTCATATGGGATTAAATATCAAAATACATTTGCACTTGTTGCCAAATTTAACACTGTTCGGGTATTGCTCTCTCTTGCACCAAATCAGGATTGAGCTTTATACTAACTTGAAGCTAAAAATGTTTTCTTAAATGAGGATCCTAATGAAGAAGTATACATAACTATACCTCCAGGCTTGAAAAATAAGTCGAACAACAATTGGTTTGTAAGTTTTCTTATAATGTTTTCTTATAAGATAGCTAAAAATGTTTTCTTATAAGGCCTTATATGGCTTGAAACTGTAGTACTTGGTTTGACAGATTTGCTAGAACAGTATTTACAAATGGATATCATTAATGTCAAATTAATCATACACTATATGTTAAATCCAATCCTAGAGGCAAAATTTTTATTCTCATGGTATATGTTGGTGATATTATTTTGACATGTGATAATTCAAAAAAAAAAAATTATTACACTAAAAAGATGCTTACAATTGAATTTGAGATCAAGAATCTTGAAACTCTGATATATTTGGGGAATGAAGGCTCGGTCTAAAGAAATAATTTTCATATCCCAAAGGAAGTACATGTTGAACTTGTTAAGAGAAACTGTCATGTTTGGGTATAAACCTGTTGACACACCCATGAATTTCAACAAAATGTTGCACAAAAGTGAAGAAACCAATTCAGTTGACAAAGGAAGATATTAAAGACCTGTGGGCAAACTACTTTACCTATCACACACAAAACCTAATATTGCATACTCAGTCAGTGTGGTAAGCTAGCACATGAATAATCCAAATGAGGATCATCTGGAAGGAGTAAATAGAATCCTGAGATATTTGAAGATGTCCATAAAATATGATTTGCTCCTCAAAAGAATACAAAATTTTGATATTGAGATTTACACAAATACAAGTTGGGCAAGAGAGGCAACTAATAGAAAATTAACCACTAGATACAGTTCATACGTCTAGGGCAATCTCGTCATGTGAAGAAATAAAAAGTAAACAATTACCCTCGGAGTAGTGTAGAATCTAAATACCATGCTCTAGCTATGGGAATATGTGGGGGAATGTGCATTCAAACGTTATGAAAGAAATCTAATGTTGGGACAAAAGACATAATTAAGATGTTTAGTGATAGGCAAGCGACTAATAGTATAGCCAAAAAACTTTGTGCGTCATGGCAGAATAAAACACATCGAGATTAACCGACACTTCATCTTAGAAAATGTTAAAAATGATTTTTATTCAACTCAGCTATGTTCTCACAAGACTTCATATTATTGATATTCTCATCAAAGCACTACTAAGAGCAGTCATGATGAATTGAAGTCCAAGCTTGATTTGTACAATATATATATATATATATATATATAACCTAGTTTGAGGGGGAGAGTAGGAAAGTGCAAATCCTCATTAGGAAGGAGTTTATTTCCTTCGCTCAGATGTATTTCACTAATGGTGTTTCCTTTTATTTATATTTCTTATTTTTTATTCTTCCATATTTAGTGGGATTCTTGTTGAGAAAATCTATGGATTTATCTAATATATTAGGTCATTCATCTATCTCTTCTAACATAAATTGGCATGGTTGAAAAGGAAGACCTAGGATAGAAAGCAAGAAAGAAGACGATCAATCACATATATTTTGATTAAAAAGATGCAGAAAATACAACTTCTATGAGGATTTCGGAAAAAATTTCCATATTTCCAAGATGTAAGAAGACCTGAAGAACAATAAAGATTCATAAATAATAAGCATTACTGTGCGGGCATTAATATTTCTCAGTTTCATGAATATGAGGATATAATTATGTGTACTTGCATATGAATAAATACTTAGGATTTTACTTGTAAGCTAGTTCCTTTGTTGGTTCACTCCAGCCTTCAAGATGTCGATCAATTAAAGCACGAGTCCTATGAGAGATCTGGAAAACATGAGGGGATCCAAGTATCAACTCCAACATAAAAACCCCTACACTCCACATATCATATCTGCCAAAGAAAGGACTTCATAATTACTCGCGTGAAGAAAGAAAAGTTGCTTAATTTCAAAGCAAAAACGAGAATCAGACATCCCATCAGTCGCATTTTATCATCAACTTCCAGGTTAAGCTCATATAACAGAATGCACTAATTTTGAAAGTCAACAATACTATCATTAAAAGAATGAAACATTAGATGCAATAACACAGAGAAAAGATTAAGGCCAAACTTCAATCTAACACTGCTTGGCCCCTGAAACCAGCTAGCATTGAGAAGTGCTTCTGGAGGAGCATACTCAAACGTCTGTTCCGACCTGAAAGTCACAAACAAATATCAGAGAATACACATAAAGAGGATTACTCGAGTTCAATTTCAATTATAAAAATTTAAAATCTATCCTTCTCATCTCTCATAATTTCTCATTCTCTCCGGTAAACTTTTTTTCACATGGTTCCATCACTAAAACTCCTTGGGGTGCATTCATCTTTATTTCTTTCAAAAAGCTCAAACTCATTAAATTGAGTTCAAGTTAGATTAATTAGTTAAGCTCAAGCCAACGATTACTTGAGCTGAATTGGACTGATTTACACCCTCAACTGCAATAACTCGTGCATAAATGGTACAAGAGCAAAGAATAAGAAATGTTGCTCCAAAGCCTTGAGTTAGATGTACATAAAAGGTAGATGAGCAAAAACAAGTAAAAAAAAACTCACTAAAACAATAAAAAAGATTCCAACTACACCACTTTTCAGTAATTAAAAGCACCTTGTGGGTCCAGATCCATAAAGATGCTTTAAAGTAAAGTCATCCATTGCACTCCCAAAGTCAATTATGCGCCTAGATCAACAACAATCAGCAATTGACTATCAATCTGAAAAACATTAAATTAAAAAAAAACGATATCGCATATTAAAATAGTTGTGATGGAAATGACATATAAACAGCAAAAAGAAACTATTTAATTGATCGAAAAGGCACATGATCAAAATGGTTCTCTGGAACTGGCAATTGATATCTACTCGCCATAGAAGCTTGATCTATTCCTTGGTATTTGACTTACAAATAACGTTAAACTCTAAGCTCAAGAAGTTCTGATTTTATTATTAAAATCACAATAACTTGCAAAAATTCAAAATTTCCAGAGACATTCTTATTACTAAAACTGCTTATACAGCAAAACCATCCCTTCTACAAAAGATTAAATGCCTGTCACCAAAAATATAAAATAACGTAAACCGAATTTATATATTTTAATCAAAAAAGGATTCCAAAAATCTTTTTTGAAATCGCCAATTGAATATATAGTCGCTTTGGGATGAATAAAGAATGAGATTTATAAAGCCGCCAAATCGGGATACACTACAGATGAAGCTGTCCAAATCGGCGGAAACACCGCCTTAAATTTTCAGCCGGTTATTTACCAGCTGAATATGCGGTTGAATAGCCTGCTATAGCTTAGCGACAGAACAACTGGCTAAAAATTTAACCAATTGAATGTAACAGCTGAAAAAGTGATTGCAATTTCCAGCCAATTCCTATATCACTTGAAATCTGCTTATTAACGGCTGAAATTTTAGCCAGTAAATTTAATGGCTGAAATTTCAGATGGCAATCAACCAAAAAGCTATATTAAATAGAACTTGAGCGCCAAACACCTCATTTTTTCCCTCTCCTTCGGTTTTCTCTCTTGGCAACACAGTTGGCGATAACCTGTGCTAGGTATCAGCAAAGAATCCAAACCTTAAGGAAAGTAACATTTTATTTCTCCCCATCCTTTCTCGCTTGGTTCTGTGTCTCGACTATGTGGTTTTCTTCCTCGATATGGATTCCTTGCTCATGATCTCAGCAAGGAATCCAAACATACCACTCAATTTCTATGTATTTACATATATAACACTTAAACTTCAATTTTTAGGGTTTAGCTTTTTTGCTTATACTTAGGGTTTAGGTTTGGATACATAAAACTCAATTCATATGTATTGATAATCTCACACCTAAACTTCAATTTTTTCCCTCAATTCTTATGTATATGCATACCTAAAACACAATTCCGTTGTATTTACATATCTCATACCTAAACTTTCATACTAACATACATATGTAAGTTGGTGCTTTAAGACTATGCATAAAAATGTGTATTTTACTAATTTTAAAAAGGGTTTAAGTTTGCTATATTTGGAGTGATATTAAGGATTTGAGTGCCATGTGTATAAATATAAAAAAATTATGTATGGGATATATAAAAATATAAGAATTTTGCGTTATGTATATAAATGCCCCTTTCTTATTTAGAATTAAGTGATTTGCATACATACCACTCAATTTCTATGTATATATCGGCCGTTATTTTTTTGAAAATATGAAAAGATAATGATTTTTGTAAATATGAAAATAATTTTAATATAAATATGATTTTTAAAAGTAACATTTTAATTAAAAATAGATGAGACCAAACGAGTCTCACATATTAAATAGTTTAGACGGTTGAATGCGATACTACAAGTAATACACTATCCCGAAAGATAATTATACCACTTATCAGTAGGTTTAACCACATAAACTAAGAAGTTTGTGACATCCGTTTGGTCTACAAAACCTTTTATGTATGACCGGCAAGTTTCCCTACCTAATATAAAGATTAGACAAGGTTTATGTTACCTGGGTTCCAAGTTCCCTATAGAGGCAAACCCCTATCGTTAATTATATCTTAAATGACCGGGGTCACTTAAGAAGATTCTCGATTAAGATCAGTAATTTTACCTTCCAGATTTCAAAGTTTAGGCTTTCAAGATTGGACATGGAAAAATCAAATGGGAATGACTCAAATAGAAACAATTATTTTAAGAAATCCAAAGGAGCGAAGAGTAGAGGATATCACAGATCCAGGGAGAACCACAGTGTCCTCCCAACTATCCTATTGTTTGGATTTATGTCTTTGAAATAATGTTATTCAATGTTTAATCCTCCAATTTCTTTCAGAATTTAAGACTTACATTCGCACGATATCTGATCGTGCAAATAGCTTAAAAAGATATGAGAATTTACACCGTACCGTACGGTAACCTCAAAATCTTAAAAGTGTTAGGACTTATAATTGTACAACAGGGTTGTGCAAAAGCCTAAAGATAATATGTGAGGATTCACGTTGCGCTAAGCAAACTATCTCGAAGTCCTATGGGTTGTTATTTAAACTAAGAAAAATGTTTAGTTGTCGTAGACTTATTGTACTGTTGTAGATCGTTATCCTCCGTCCGCTACATCCTGGTCGTGCTGACTCCGGTGTTTGCTCCGAACTCCCTGTCGTAGCGCATTCGGATTCGATGCTAATTTTAAAGGTACATGTAATTGTTTAGTTAACGTTCTGCTGTCGGGTACCTCCTATGAAACCAACTGCTGACCTCCTATTCTAAGGTATAGTGCGTAAAAATAAACAGTAGCAGGTAATGACAGAATTTAAAAAATGAGCTAACATGCATTATATTAACAAAAGAAACAACACTTGGAAAACTCAAGAAAGAGCAGCAATTGATCCTTGACAAAAGAAAATTTGAGAAAATCGACAGTTAACTCACGATGGAAATCTCGAAGTAAAAACGACAAATAGTAACTCAAAGAAAGCCACAAAAAACACGAGAAGATCCCATATTAAAGACCACAAGTGCTTTACCAATAAAATCCCACGAAAAATCCAAAAACGAAAACCACAAGCACTCGGGTCGGGGCTATGCTCAAATATTATATATTTGTACTCGAGGGACGTCGAAGGCTACTATCGGTCACCCGGATGTATAGAGTCTGTCACTCAACTAGAAGGGTGTCCTACTAAACCTAACTTAAGAGGGTACTCCTCAGCCCGGTACTGGTAATTGATAAGTGGACAACCTAGTTATGATATATTTAAAATTTATATTTTAGCATGCATACGGATTTCAGGCATACAAAATGAAGTTATATCAATTTTGTATTAAAATATTATTTATAAATATTGTATCTTCTCTTATCATGTTCTGTTCTTATCAATTTTGAAAAATTATGATTGTCCACGAGTCTATTACGCCGTCGGGCGTATGACCGCGAACAACCTAAGAAGGTACGGGTCTCCCGCTAGTCTTGTGTCAGTGAATGATACTGTCATCCTACAGTTTATCAGGTCCAAGGATTGGATCCTGATATCTTAGGATGGAATATCATTCTGTTCTATCACCGACGTGCTTTTGCCATCATCGCCCTAAGCCCTAAAAGCAAAACCAACCCACTTGCTACCTTGCTTGATGGTTTCATATATAGCAAAAGACTATATATGGGCACTTATGTGTCAGACATAAGCACCGAAAACCGAGCCAAACAAGGAAAAAAAGAATAAAAATGAGGATGAGAGAGGAGGAATCGATACACCCAGAAGATCGAAAAGGCGAAGGGTGAATCGACCCTCAAAACTTATGACGAAAAGACCTGAAAATGAGGGCCCAAAATCCTTAAATCAATCCAAGAAGGATATCATTTTCTCAAATTTCATAAATGGATCAAAACAAGAAGGGTATCCCTTTCAATTATTGTTTCGAACAGGTCGAAACGGGCCCAAATTAATGTGACAATTGTATACACGGCTCCACCATAACTTACATAATCACACACCCAAGCCTCCAAACTCTTTCCGAATTACAATTTCACAAGTTTTCAAATTCTTTCGTGGATCTGGTTCATACCAATTTCATACTTTCCCGAAATGAAGTTTTAAGAACCTTTCCAATTTTTCCAACTAAATCAAAGGAATATAATCCACAAATGACATCCTCAGAATCCTAAAATCTTGTAAACAATAAAACCATTTAGTTCCAATTTCAACCACAAGCCTTCCGCACTGTACAAGTGCAATATTGTCCAAAATAACATATAAGTGCTCACGACTAGGGCAGGGCAATCAAGAGGGCAAAACAAACTCGAATAAACCTCTAACAAGCTCACGGGTGGGGTCAAGAAAGAACACAACCAAGCCCTAACATAAGCTCACGGTTAGGGGCATCAAAAGGACAACCAACACCCCAAGCCTACAGGTCAGGGCAGCAAACCAAAATAGCTTCACAGTAAGGGGGAAACAGGGAACAACTAAACAAAATAAAAGAGAACCACGTGGATGCACTCAGGTAAGGGCAGCAGCCCACACAACCAACCAACAGGTGTTCTCGGGTAAGAGTAGCAAAGGAGAAACCACCGGTCCCAACACAAAGAGACAAGCAACATAAACAAGTGTTCTCGGGTAGGAGCAAGCAACAGAGAATCAAAGAACCAAGGCATATGAGCTCACGTCCAGGGACAACTAAGGGGAATCACCGTACCATATTTAACAAAAAAGAGCCATGGGAGAGGGCTCACGGCCAGGAACAGCAAAGGGAAGCCACCAACCCACATGAAAGCTCACAACCGAAAGGCTCAATATGGCCCAGAAAAGCAACATAGGGCCACAAAGCAAACCATATATTGTGATGGAAACAACACCTAACCAAGCCAAAACAAAACTAAGCCCGAAATATTTTTCAACATAGGGCCAACCCGAAAGTAAGGTCTAACCCAACAAGTGACCAAAACCCAGCCATCACAAGGCATAAATCGAGCCCAATGCAGGGGCAAAATTAAACCATTTCAAAGCAAAACAGAGTTCAGCACAGGGGCAAACAGAGCCTAGCAGGAAAACACAAACAAAAATAGAGTTCCAGCACAATTTCAGCTCAACTAAACCCAGCAAAAGGGGGCAAAAACAGAAAAACCTCCAAGCCAAACTGAGCCCAGATCTTAGACAAAACCAAGCCCAATATAAGAGCTAAAGAAAAGAATACAAT